CGAAACACCTTGGATAATTTCCCAAAAAATAGGTTTTCCGATTATCCTAAGTAAATCCTTAAATGTTTATAATATAAAAATAAATATCGTGTATTTAAACTTTGAATGAAACCCACATGGCTATAGGTACTATAACAGGAATTAAATTTAAAAAAGGAGTGGTAAGTTTTAAGTTATACAAAACTTAACGCTCTTCAAAAAGATTCGACTAAAACAAAAAATTACTTTGGTAAAATTACAAAACTAATTTAATAGTTTATACTGTTTATGACATGATGTATGAAACCATGGAGTGTCGAAACAATTAAACAAACACTCGAAATACAATTTGCCAAACTCATTGTCATCCTAAATACTATACAGTTATAATATTATGATTAGAAGAACAAGTTTAAAATAATTATAGGCTAGTTTATATGCTTATTTATTAATTATTTTACAATTAACAATAACGATAGCTAAATTATGTATCTGTTTTAAATTTTAAGAACAATATTTAAAATATTATATTAGGTATTTAAATATCTGACAAATCATTTATTTGAAGAATGTTCCAAGAATCGTTGATACAAGTTCCATCAATTATAATTTGAATATATAATAATTATGAAAAACTCTTATACAGATTTTAATTTCCTTAATTTCTTATTGTATTAGTTTATACTTGATTAACACATTGACTAATAATTAAATATCCTAATAATTGTAATGCCATTCAACATAAAGTCAACTACCTGTTATAACGTTCAATTTTAATAAAAGCTTAATTTATGTATTACCATCTTGACATCATCTATAAGTATAATTTTAAGTTATTACCTATTAAAATCAATTTTACTGGATTTTGACAGTAATGGGGAAAATTTGTTCAGTGCAGGGTACTTGCAATATTTGTATAAAGTACAATTTGTTAAATGTTTACATTGCTAATGTTAATTTGTTACTCACGATTTTCAAAATATAGTAAGATAAATATTTATGTTACGCTTGAAATAACAAATTGTAAAGCTGTTTTAAATATAGATGTCCTCTAAAATTAAAAAGTTTGTTGTTAAATCTTTCAAATTAGAACAGTGTGTGTAGATATTTCGTTTATTAAATCCACAATTCCATTTTTTTTAAATAATTGCAAAGTTTTATTTTAAAACGTATTGTTTTCTTTCAGTAAAAGTAATTTTCTTTTTGATATTTATTCTAAACAACTTTCTTCTGCATAAAAGTTTTACACACAGTGTACTGCTACTATGTTATGATACTTAACTACACACATGATATGTAAAGTATAAGTATTAAACACACTGAAACACAGTAACAATTTCTTATCACTTATACAATTTATCATGCTATAGCAAATTTTAAAATAATCAGTGAAATGTTTTCAACATTTGAGATTTAGCGTATAATATAATATCAAGTATTTCTAATTGGTTAGTAAGAATAACATAATAATATGATTAAACGTAAATACTTTATAGGTACTCTGTATGTGTGCATTTCATATTTTTTTTATTTTTTTTCATTAGTTTACCCTCGGCAACTTAGGTCATTGGGTGGTTTTTCAAACTGTGGGGGAGTTTACTGTAAGGTGAAACACGTGTGCCCATTGCATAATAATATACCTAATATACAATATTATATTATAATATATATAAACATATGTGATATGAGTTATGAGTGATTAATTTACCAAGAGTACCTACTTTTTAAATTTTGTTTTAATAAAAATTAAAAAAAAAATACCTACTTCAAGTTTTAAATAGCTTCATTAGTTTCAGATAACAGAAGATTTTTTTTTAAATGTTCATAAACTATAAAATCGTATATAAATACATATTTCAATATTATTATGATTATTAATTAATAAATACAATTGATTTAGTACCTAGGTCACTGTAATGAGACTTCAGAGTATTTACTTATGTGTTAAATTTGAATTCAATGATAAATATTCATATGACATACTAAAGACGAATCTGTGCTAAGCTCATACCACAAATATATTATGATATATTTATATTGTTATAAAGTATTCCTTTTTTACTATTAGTGATACGTGGTAAGTTAAATTAATTTTTTCCTAACAACATTGCATTTTAAAATGTCATTGTGTTTATAAAATATATAATATAATATAAGTTAAAAGTATTGAATACTCACGAATAATATGGTTTAATTTTAATTTTAATCGACCAGTTTGGCAAAGAATATTTAATTACAACAAAATAACAAAAACTTTATCCTTCGTTTAAATAGTATGTAATTGCATCCAAATTTTAACTGAAAATGTTTAATGAAAAATCGGGATTATATTATATTTTTTTAGACATTTTTGTTCCAATATGAACTATTTATGACAAACTTTGCATTAATTTTCAAGGTTTTTGATCTAACAAAAAATGTATGTCAACATATTTTATAGGACTCAATAAAAGAGTAAAAAATGTTTTAAACATTTAATAAAATTCTATACAGCGTAATGTTCTAAGACATGTTACATGTAACACATGTTGTAATACATATTAGAATAATTCAGCTAAAAATAATACAAAAGATCTTTAAATGTATAATATTATATACGTTAATAAGAAGAAGCTTAACTTTTTAACTCGTTATACCCAGCCTTTTATCTATTATTTATTGATGTAAATAAATTTAGAATTGTTCAAGTGTTTATGCTATCAAAATCAAAGAAAAATAAAATAGAACTAATAGAACAAAAACAAATAGAACTTTCGCTCTATAACTCAATAATAATATAGCATTGTACTATTGTACTATAATATTATAGTGGGCATACACTCTTTTCTCGTAACATAATACTATATACTATATTATATAGCTTAATTATTAATAATATAATGCAAAGCAAAGCAACACTTATTATATTAAATTAAAATTATTTTAATTCCGGTTATTCATTAACTGAATAATTACCATTAAGTAAACATTAAAAATAAATAAATTTTTTTTTTTTGTTATTTGTTTAATTTATATTTTAAATATACCTACAAAATGTTCTTACATAGTTAAAAAAAAGTATTAGTCATTAGCATTAGCAGGTATTTGAAATGAAATTCAATCACATGAATATACCGTTAAAAACAAAGACATTTTGAATTGGGTACATAAACAAAAAACGATTCTTAATATAATATAGGTACCAGCAAAATAAAAAAAAAATGGTAGCAGTCAAAGTCTAGATGAACCATGTGGTTTCTCGAGAAAATTGTAATCCTTTGTAACAGCACTTGAGTGTTTTGTTTGGCGCACGTACATTTTTCGACCACACAAGAGTTCACGTAGAAATGGGAAAAAGAGTTGAGTTACAGTTTAGTGCACTTCACCCAGATATCTGTAGTGGCCATTAAGTTCATTTTCAGCCCCAAATGACGGACCGCAATTCATTTAATATAATCACTGAGGAAACGCTATTTTTTGTAATATACGCAGAAATCCAAACAAAATCTTTACGTTATTTAACGGGGTTTTCATTAATTTTTCATTCCATGAAAAAAATTAACACAACAATAAAATATATTTATTTTATTATTTTTATGAGTGAGTGATGTATTTTTAATGAACGTTTATTTACCAAAAAAAATAGTTTATTTAGTTTACATATTACCTATTATCCATTTTGGATTATCCGTTTGGAGTTTATACTGTGGATCATTGAAAATAAATTAGTAAAAACACACTATATTCTGAATTGATTGGATTATTTCACATTGTTTTCATTAAGTAAAACAAAATATGTAGAAATACAAAAACTTATCACACAGTTAATATGACATATTTTAATTATTATCAAAGATTATATATTATATAAAACAACTAGATTCCGACTCGTGCGATACAGCCTCATATAAGACCTATGAAGTCTGCCAGCCATATGTCAAGGGGGCAAAATTAAGTGATTAATCCATGTAATATTTATTTTTTGCCATCAATTATATCTATATGATAACACACAAATAATGATTACTGATAATTAAAAATCACAGAATAATCTTATAAGTTATAATCATTGTATTATAATATATTATATTCCATGCAGTGGCGTATCCAGGGGGGAGGGTTAGGGGATTGTACCTTTGTTGTAAGTTCTGGATACCTGGATGTCTGATTCGATGACATGGTTATAAATATCATGGGTTAATCAATCGTATTTCACCATTTAGACATAATATGGCGGCCCAACTTCAATATTATCATGTCAGCTAGGTATTTAGTTGTTTTATATATCTATGGTTATTAGTTATTATTACCTATATAACATGTCAGCAACTCGTGATGTCTGTGAAGTAAGCATTTCTCCAACTGGTTGAGCGGTGGAGTGGTGATGGAGTCTTCGGCGTCGCCGTCGGCGGCTATTGCGGCAGTGACGACGGTGGACCTATGAGAACCCGAGAAATGCTTAGGTCACAGTACTATGCTGGGCGGAGGGTGGGTGCGCGATTTGTTTCTAAACTGGTAACTTTGCTGACATACCTATTTAATTTGTCATGCTATATAATATATTCCATTATTTTTTTTTTAGAGATTCAACAAAAATATTTGTTCAGTAATGTATGACATACACATTGTGTTATTTTAATTTTAATTGACAACTG